CTTGTCAGTCATTTGCAGACGACCTGTAAAGCAAGGGGTTGGTTGAATCCAGGGGGGCAAAAGCCAGAATGGACTTGGGAGAAGAAACGAGGAGTTAGGCTCCATCAACATCAGCTGTCCTTTAAAACTGATACTAACCCAGAGGTCTCCGAAGACCCCCTGGGCGAGGAGGCTCCACCAGCCCAGGCGAGCCTCACCTCCGCACACACATGCTCCCCAGCTTGAGTGCAGGCTCTCACAGGCACCACCACCCATTCGTTATGAAGGCTGAGCGCCACACGGTCTATTTGTGAAAGGTGCTGACACACTAATTCACAAATTCACTTTCACTGTTCCGGAGCCAAAAGTATTTGTTTGGGGAGACGCTTGAGTTTTCTTGTGTTTCCTGTTCTCCTTGAATGTCTTTTGTGATCATTCCAAAACAGACGTCTTTGGGGAGTGCTGAAGGATTTAAAAGTCTGATAACGAAACAGGGTTGAAGAGAGGGCCCCATGGTTAAGAGCTCTTGCTCATCTTCCAGATGGCTGAGGTTGGGTTCCCAGCACCCACATTGGTTCACAACTCAATCCCCGGAGATCTGAGACCCTTTTCTGGCCTCCTTGGGCACCGGGTACATGGATGACACACAGAGACACATGCAAGCAAAGTACTTGGTAGCATGTTCTTTTTCAATCCCATGATCCAGGAAGAGGCAGAGGGAATCTGTGAGTCTGAGGCCAGACCCTGCAACAATATTACCCCACCCCCACAGAAATCAGTATGGTGTTGATACTCAAAAGACTTAACATAGCTACTGCCTAAGCCCGGAATTCCAGTTCTGGGTACATACTCAAATGAGTTTAAATGGAGGGCTTGAGTAGAGACCTGTACACCATTATTGATCACTAAGGGATTAACAGTAGCTAACACAGGGCTGGAGAGATGGCTCAGAGGTTAAGAGCACCGGCTGCTCTTCCAGAGGTCTTGCGTTCAATTTCCAGCAACCACATAGTGGGTCACAAACATCTGTAATGAGATCTGGGGCCCTCTTCTGGTGTGCAGTTGTACATGGAAGCAGAATGGTGTATACATAATAAATAATTAAATAAAATCTTTAAAAAATAATAGCTAACACATGGAGGGAACCCAGGTGACCTTTGGCAGACGGATGAGCAGATGTGAAGAGGACACTCTGACCCGTCATGGCGCATGCACGAGTCTTGAGAGTACTATGAAGTAAAACAAGCCAGCCACAAAAGGACAGATATTATATGACTCCATCCAAATAGGGGGCCTAGAGGACTCAAAATCATACAGCCTGAGAGCAGAGCGGTGGCTGGGAAGAAGGAAAAACCTGTATAATGGGGGCAGAGAAATGAAGAGATCAAGATATGGACAGTGACAGAGGCTGTGTGACAATGGAGAGCTAGCTTCACAGTCAATTGTGTGTTTTTAAATGGTTAATGGTGCTATGAGGCTACAGTTCAGTGGTAGAACCCCTGCTAAAATCCCCCAGTGAGGGGGCGTGGCTCAGTGGTAGAGCCCCTGCCTAGAATCCCCCCAGTGAGGGGCTGGGGGCGTGGCTCAGTGGTAGAGCCCCTGCCTGGAATCCCCCAGGGAGGGGCTGGGGGCGTGGCTCAGTGGTAGAGCCCCTGCCTGGAATCCCCCAGGGAGGGGCTGGGGGCGTGGCTCAGTGGTAGAGCCCCTGCCTGGAATCCCCCAGGGAGGGGCTGGGGGCGTGGCTCAGTGGTAGAGCCCCTGCCTGGAATCCCCCAGGGAGGGGCTGGGGGCGTGGCTCAGTGGTAGAGCCCCTGCCTGGAATCCCCCAGGGAGGGGCTGGGGGCGTGGCTCAGTGGTAGAGCCCCTGCCTAGAATTCCCCAGTGAGGGGCTGGGGCGTGGCTCGGTGGTAGAGCCCCTGCCTAGCTTGTGTAACCTTGGCCTTGATCACCAGCACTTCAAAAAACAAAACAAAACAAAAAAACTTTAAAATGGTAAATGCCATATTATATGTCCCTTACCGAATTTACTAAAAGCACACTAGTAGTAACACTAATAGCAGGACACTTGGTTTTAACAATATTCCCAATCTGCGAACTCTGTGAGCAGGAAAGCCTCCTGAATACTTAGGACAGGTTCCCAGTGTCTCTGTCATCCAAGAGCCCAGGGTGGGACGGGCAAGGCTCAGAGCAGAGTTGTGGTTACCTTGTGAGGGTCCCAGACCACAGCCCACCTGTCTAGCCGTGTTCGTCTGCAGAAACACCCATAACCTAGTGTGTCTAGTCACATTCTTAAAGCCATTGTTACCTGTTTGCATTTTTAGTACATTTATTTATTTTGTGTGCACGTCATGGTGCAAACATCAGGGTCAGAGGACAGCTGCATGTGTCCCCGGGACCAAATTCAGGTCAACAGACCTCTTGGTGTGCACCTTTACCCAAGGAGCTATCTTCCC